TATATATATATATATATAGTTAATGTATAAATAGAATGATTGACTTGACATTCGAAATATAGTGTCTCTTATTATTAGAAATTTTATTTTATTTTTTAACTTTTTGACAGTTTAAATAGAAAATTTGAATAGAGTATCGTAATTGAAACATTTTTAATTATCTTTAAACAAGTTTTGCAACTACACATCTTAATTCGTTGGTAGAGATATGACGTTCTGGCAGCGAATCTGTTAAATCAATATTAGTCTATTGTCCCTATTGTAAGTTTCAGAGAACTGCAAACATCTTTTAATTGAACGACGAATTCATAAACGTATTAACATAAAGTTAGCATACATTCGAAATGAACTGATTCAATAATTTAAAAATTAAAATTTCCGAAAAGAAAAACTACAAGTCAACGCTAGTTGGTAGGTGCTTGTAATTATTCTATTTTTATGTTTATCGGAAGGATATACATAAAATAATACACAACATAAAGTTAACAATAATTTGTATTTAAAATAGAACTTTAAATACAAAAGGAAATGTGTCTCTGCCTTGGACCGTTCAAATCAGGCAAAACTCTTTTAATGAAAAGTCTCCAAGGAGATGAAATCGACGACGCGACTCATACTGTGCCTACCAACGGAATAAATATATATACTGTAAAAAATGATACTGGTGAATTCGATATGGTGATTAAAGAAATTGGCGGTAATATGGCACCGATCTGGAAACATTATTTTGATAAGGTACTATATTATGTAAAATAAAAAAAGACAAAATCGCATCTTAATAAACATATGATATACTTAAAGTATTACATTTTTTTGTCGTTATCAGATTCATAAAATTATCTACGTAGTGGATACCAGTAATCTTTGTCAAATAAGTGCTGCAGGCGTACTACTTTATTCTTTTCTCGTGGAACCGAGATTACGGAATGTGAAAGTAGCACTCATCTTGAACAAGATGGATGTTTCGTATCGTCAGATGAGAAACGAAGCTTTGCTGATGTTACAATATGCGCGTCTGCAAAAGGAGGTGACACAGAAGATCACCGTGCTGGAAACCAGTGGTATGACGGGTCAGGGGATAGAGAGTTTACGCAGCTGGCTATTTGATCCGGAAACGCTGCGAGCTACGCTCAAGGCTAATAAATAGGCTAATAAATCGTCGCATGGTGAGAGAGAACGTTACCTTAAAATGCATTTATTTTATTTACATTCGATCTTACAAAGATACAAAGATATTACTCTACAAAAATCTTCGAGCATTCTTTGAAAATAATTCATTAACGAATGTTAAACGTATATTACTTCTATGTTATACGATCAATTCTAAAAATAAATACTGCAATGGGTGTTGACGCGCATTGACAAATGCTGACTGTCAAAATAAATTCTCACGCAATTGTTACAAGTGCTAAAAAAAAGATAATTTTATACATAGAAAAAAGGGGCCGAAAGATAAGAGAAAATTTATGTCATTCTTTTCATACATCAGCGCGATAACAAAAGTAACCGTATAAACATTCGCTCCCGCTTAAATCATCGATTGAAAATCTTCTATGTATATCTTCTAATATTCTTATAGATGCATTCAATAAATTTAAAATATTGTTTACTTATACGACATTTAATGTATCCTTGTAAGATCTTCTACTATTTTTACAAGATCGTCTACCGTCGCCTCTTTCTTCATGCCGCTGCCATCGTCGATCTACGAAAAAATAGTGCGTTAAAAGATTTAGGAAAATTAATTCAGTATGCTTACATACATAAGTCATACATCATTAATTCGGGAATATTTTATATAGTTTTTTTTTTGCATAAACGATTACCTAGAGTGATTTTTACATCCCAATTAAAAGTCACTATCATTATATATTATTGATTGTTCTATTTGATTTATATTAGTATTTAAGATTATTATATTTAATATATAGATTTACTTTTATTAAATAAATATATATTTGTTAATAAAAAACTAAAAATAATTGAATTATTTATTAATAAAGTACTATAACTGATTCCATTTTCTTTCTGCCGATGTAAAAATCACCTGAGGTCATTATTCCCAATAAGAGAATGCATGATTGAATTACCATAAGACCCATTGCGACTTCTGCCATTTTATCATGGTTCAAATCGAGGAAACTTTCTATTAGGTCGCCATCTATAAATCCTTCACACTGCTCAATCTTCAATTCCGTATTAAAACTTCTCCAGAAGTTGTGTTCTATCTTGCCCACGCTTTTTATCACACTGTTTAATCTGTCCTCCATATTACGCAGGAATTCATAAAATGTAACTGGTATTTGCGTTACCAGACCGATCGCACCGCTTACAGTGCCGAATAACACACAACCTAGAGTCGGCGTACTTGATTCTCCCAAATTTTGCATCACCAACGAACCATGCCGAAAAACATTGACCATATCACCCAGATGAAATTGGCCTATTTCCTGCATCTGTTGTCTTTCATCTTCAGACGTTGCAGCGCTAGAAAGAACAATTGTCCATATTTAAAATTACCTTATTAAAATCATACCAATAGGGATGACGCGTGGCTCTATATAAAAGCGATCGACTCATAATTGATGGATTTTTATCGTATATATTTCGTATATATATTTCGGTTTTTAAAAGACATTAATGAAAAAGAAGATTAAAGATTGCGAATATAAAAATATAAGAGCTGACAACGAAACTCGTTTCAAACAAATTATATTTCCAAATAAAAACATATACATCTATAATGTTATTGCAAACATACCTGTCCTTTTGACATACAAAGAGATTGAAGCAATTTTCAGCGCCTAGAAAAGTATCGTCGTCTAATATCTCGATAGAAGTCATCCAATTGGGATTGTAGTCTCTAGCTATTTCCTCAAAGCTGCCCTCCATAGTCTTATACTGAAGCAATGTGAGGGATCTCATCAGATCTCCCACAAGGACAAAGTCGCCTTTGGTTTTCAAATATAGTGCTATGATATTGTTAAAATGACTGCATTCCAATCTGAGCTCCTTTTCCGCAGTCCATTCAAATAATCTCACAGTACTGTTGATGCTCGCCAAGAGTTTTCCATTAAATTCGACCAAGGAATAGCACGAACCCTTGATCTCTTTTTCCGCAACCTGCGTGAACTTGCCCTCGCTCCAATGATATAGCAATATCCTGCCCATCTTGGGCTCAGTCTCATCGGGATTTATAAACGCTGTCCCAACCACGAAATAAGAAGTCGGATCCTCGCCCAATCTTGTTGAGATCAATGATAACGCATACTCAGTGGCCATCAGCGTGTGTGCATGCAGAACCTCGAATGTATGCTGATCAATGATGAGAAGATTGTGGACCTCAATCTCTTGACCAATCTCATTGGCCGTATGTCCACTG